ACTGCTGCAGAGAAAGTGTGCTCTTTTATAACACGGAATGAAAGGAAACTACATCCTAGAAAGGGACTTGTAGGATTGGGGTTTTCTGCTCTTAGTCTAGAACATGCTTGGTTCTTAAGGTCATATTTATAGGACCCAACCATCCTGTGACTTTTTGTTGTTGTTGTTGTTTACTTCTCACGAGGGAACCTCCATTCCAGTTTGAGAGTTTCTTTGTTGCTCCACATTCCTCAGCAGTATGTTTGGGGAAGAGTTCTTCCCTAGACCTTCTATTTTGTGAGTAACTGGGACCACCCTGAGTGCTGAGGTGCCCAGGGAAGGGCGGTTATTTAGGTGGGCCTATCTAGAGGTGTGTGCTGAGAACCACATGGAACCAGATACAAAATTTGTTTCAGCATAAGGCATCAGGTTGGAGAGAGATGGAGTAAGGACCGTCACCTCAACACTGGTGGCATAAACATGGTCTCTGATATCAGATGTCCCTAGATGGGAAAGGAGAAAAAGCTCAGGGGCTGAGCATCAGGGAAGAGGACATCGAGCCTGACTTGGATGGAATGGAAATCCACTGGCATAGAGGTACCTGAGAGGTCAGAGATCAATGAGAACTGCATAGATGAAGGGATGCTGAAGGGTATTTCAGCCATCTGGAAGACCAGGTGACTATTAAAAAGTGTGCATAGTGTATGTGTGTGCATATGTGTACATGTGTATAATATACATATACATATATATATATATATATATATATATATGATTCTCTCTCTGAGTGTGTGTTATTCTCTTTTCATATGTCTACTTTGCATTTTGTAGGTTATTTTAGCTTAGACATTATATGACATTTTTATTTTGTCTCTGAGAAGACAGAGACAAAATTCTTTGGTAATTTATTACTTTCATTTTTTTCTATCTTCTGTTATTCAGTCACAGAAATTTTTGAATGTTTTATTAATGTATTTTAAAAATCTAAATTCACATCTCTCTCTCTCCTTCCCTCTATATTTTGCATTCCACCCCCTACCCAAGACAGGCTTTCTCTGTGTAGCTCTGGCTATCCTGGAACTCACTCTGTAGACCAGGATGGCCTCGAATTCATAGATCTGCCTTCCTCTGCCTCCCAAGTGCTGGGATTAAAGGCATGCACCACCATGCCCTGCATTGCCAGTGAATCTTAAACTGATAAGATTTCTTTAAATTCTCTGATTTTAAAACAGACATTTATGATTGCCCCGTAGGTCTAGTAGCTTATGGATCATTTGCACTTGTTTTATATCTATATTCTTTAGGTGTTGTTGTCTTCAGGGCTTGCCCTGTGTGTTTACCTTTACAGCCTAAGATCAAACTGTGTTCTAGGGAGGCAACATTCCTTCCTGGTTGTTCCACTGGGAGGTGTTTTCATGAAATCTTGCCTTAGGAAAAAAATAGGTGAATTTTTAGGAAAGGATGCCAGGTGGATAAGAAATTGTGAATTTTGGGGGGGGGGGTCAGCTGGAGCATAGTTCAGAGCTTAAGAGCACTGTCTATTCTTTCAGAGGACCAGGGACCAATTCTCAGCAACCACATGGCAGCTTACAACTGTCTGCAACTCTAATTCCAAGGTATTTGACACCCTCACACAGACATACATGCAAAAAAAAAAAAAAACAAAAAACAAAAAAACAAAACAAAACAAAAAAACACCAATTCACATAAAATAAAAATAAATAAATTAAAAAAAAAGAAATTTTGATTTTTGAGATAGAGTGTGTAGGTATATTTTAACCACAGTTGAACATGGGTCTTTAGTTAGGGTTTCTATTGCTTTGAAGAGACATCATGGCCCTGGCAACTCTTACAAAGGAAGAACAGTTAATTGGGGTGGCTTACATTTTCAGAGGTTTAGTCTATTGTCATCATGGGGGGACATGATGGCTACAGGCAGACATGATCCTGAATGGAGCAAAGATTCCTACATCTTGACTTGGAGGCAACAGGAAATGGTTTGAGACACTGGGCAGTCTCTTGAGCATTTGTAAGTCTTCAAATCCCACCTCCTCAGTGATACATTTCCTCCAAGAAGACCACATCTCCATTCCTAATAGTGCTATACCCTTTGGAGGCCATTTTCATTCAAACCACCACAGTTAATAAGAGGGCATTAAAATTTGCATAATTTTGGTCTTATTTGTTACCTTGACTGGCTAATGTCCCTGTATTTGGTCCAGCATGATGTTCAGAATATGCTTAACTGCGACCTATACTTGTTTTGAATTCTTTTATATCATGATCATCTAGGAAAAGTCTTAGAAAACAAAGTCAACCTCATAGGCCCAAGGGAAAAAAAAGAGAGACAGAATGTAGAATATAGGGTTCCACCAGAGAGATCCTGGTATGAGGCAGAAGATCATTGTAACAGTTGGTCTTCCATTGTTTGTGGTATGACAGCTGAGATTCACTACTCCAATTGTCTTATATTCCATCATTGGATATAATCATTCAGCTGTGACATATTCTGAGATATTCCCCCTGTTTGATTGAAAGTATATATTCTGTGGCCACTAGCTTCTTATTCCTAGATGACCTTGTAATTAGTAACCAACATTTTTAATTCATTGTTTCCATGAGTGTGACATTTCCACATGTGAGCATTTTCCTGTGGTTGTGTGTGTGTGTTTTGGTATATTTTATTTAGGGTAATGTATTCCAGAACCATTCATCTACTTGCCACTGGCAGAAATCTATTTTTTCTAATGTTGGAATGGTATTCCGTTAGGAATATATTCCATATTTTCCTCGTTTCTTATCCAATTAAGCTATATTGATAACATGTTTTGGTTATTGTGAATAATGATCTAGTGAATGAGTGCAGATATAATTTGGGCATTTTTTTCCCTTTCAATTTTTTTGGGTATATATCCATTGTTTCAAGGTTACTGCAGTTGTTCTATCCCAGAAGTTGTTCTGAAAAAGAAACACACAGTAGCTAATGTTTACATAATAGTTGTATTGATAGTCACTGCCTGTAGATGAGATGATCATCCATCTGTACATCTTCATCTACTTTCACTCTAGTTTTCTGATGATGGTCTTTTTAATAAGAGTGATGTGCTGTGTTTTATTCAAGCCCACAGGAGATAGAGGTGAATGGAGTGAAAGGAGATAGAGAAGAGTTGAAGTGGGTAGATGGGAGTCACAGGGAGGAGAAACTGTGGTAGCTATGTAAAATAAATGAAAAGGTGTTAATTAAATAAAATTTAAATAAATAAAAATAAAAAATCTATGAGAAAAATGTAAGAATGAGGTGGCATCTCATTTGGGTTTTAAATTCTCTAGTGATTAGTGATGCTGAGTATTGTTTCACCAACAACTGCCATTTGCATATCTGTATGAATAAATATGTTCAGGTTTTGGCATTGTTTTGAATTCTTTCTGTGTTTCTATTTGTCTTATTTCCTACTATAATTTAGATGTTGCACACTTATTAGATATATGATTTGCTTACATTTCGAGTGGTTTGTGGCATTCTTATTTTGTTGTCTCATTTCTTGTGCAAAACCTTTTTTAGTTTGATTTACCTTCACTTGCTTATTTTTTCTACAAATGCCTATCCCTTTTTGGGTCATAGTCACAGAACTGTCTTTCTGAGCAATGTTGTAGAGATTTATACCATTGTTCTTTCTTGTTTTATTGTCTGAGGTGTCACATTGAAATCTTCAATCTATTTGTTGATTTTGTATAGAATATGAGATAATAGGCAGAAACTGAAACCTAGGATTTCATCCCATGAATATCTGAATTAAAGAATAGAATTTATAATGAGGGTATTAACCAGAAAACTGTGGTTTCCTACTGCTATACTCGAGGTAGGTGGAATTATTTTGGATCTGTCTTACAAAGACCCTAGGTGAGTTTACAAAGGTTTGCTTAAGGTATCTTGCTTTGTATCTTCAGAAAGACCTGCCTTTAAATGGACCTTTATGAAGCTGGAAACTTTGAACCTTTAAACGTATTCCCTTAGGCTCAGCCTCTAGCCACTTCTGAGGAAAACTGCCTTTCTTTGGCTAAGGAAATGAAGTCGGCCACTTTTCGGTAAAGGCCTTGCTTGTCCTAGGTTTTCTTAAGCCTGTCCCAACTCCTCTGTGCTCAGTCTTTGTAGTGGGCCTCAGCTCCTTAAGATTATTACACAGAGTTACTCAGGAGGGTGTGCATTCTCCTCCAAAACACTGATTTTATTTCTTGATATGTGGAAGCTAATATACTATCACACAAATATAATGTATGATAGATAAATTTGGATGAGGTCAGATTTAATAATATATCTTTAGCTAGCAGAGATTTTTACATTTAATGCGGTACCTCAGTGATGTAGAAAGGATTCAAATTCTATGTGTAGCTTTTGAGTTGATGCCCTAAGCCCAAAGTGCTCACTGTTAGAAAAGTAACGGTGTCTGTTTCCCCCTTCTCTTTAGCACACAGATTACTCTCACTCTCTCTGACCAGCTCTGGAAGCCTCCTAAGTAGATAGTCTTTTCAGTCTTGTGAGAAATTAGTTAGTAGATTAAAGGTATAAAGTTGGTCTTATCTCTGAACAGTGTTGCAAAAAAGTCTTTCTGTTGGTCATAATTTGGTGTGGGAATAGTGGCCCCTGGATTTAGAAACCTAAATGCAATGATGGTAGTTGGATCCAAGGGTGGCAGGTACCTGCGGCAGCATGGAAACTATAGATATGAGGGAGGTGTGAGGGTGGTTTTGATGCTTGGAGCTGAACAAGTCCTAAAGACATAAATGATTTTTAAGTAGAAGTGACTTCATGCCCCTGCTTCTTCCTCTTGACACCTGAGATGACTTCCTACTCAGAGTAAATGGACTTCAATGATGTATTTCTTCAAAAAATCATATTTGCTTAATTCATGGCCATATTTCCCCTTGAACAAACACAGATTTTGGACTGGCTTGTCCTTCACTGCAAATGTCCTGAAATAACCCACATTTTCTTAACTTGATACAAATTTACAGAAGACTCATTTTGTTCTGAAGAAGCTACACCTGAAGGTTGTGTTCCTTTATTAAAGCAATGGTTACACATTGTTCCCGTGACTTCTGGTCTATTTCATCCACGGGTTTTTTGACAGCACTTGCCTCTTCCTTCAAAACAGGTGCCAATTTCCACATAAAACCATGGGCATTTCCAGACTTGACACTTTGCTTTTTTGTCAAGACACTCAATTGTGTCATAGCCAGCAACTACAAGAAAAGAATAGAAAAACCTCAGACTGTGGGTTATAGCCACAGTGATTTTTTAAAATCATGTTTGATGATGGCGCGAGAGTTCTACAAAAAATACATAAAGAATTTTACCATTTAAAGACAAATTTCCACAACTGATGGTCAGGACCTCTAATAAAATCAGACCTGTCTTGAACTCATTACCCAGGAGACCCCAAGGCTCAAGAGCCACATAGCTGTGGTTACTACATTAGAAGGGACACATGGAGATTATTCCTTCCTGTTTATTTTGATACAGGACCTCACTCTGTAGGACTTACTGGCCTGGAATTCGTTATGTAGCTCATGCTGGTTTGAATCACAGAAATGCTCTTTTCCCACTGTCTTAGATGTTGGGATAAAAGGAAGAATTGCCACTTCTGGCTGTAGAAAATTCTCATCACCACAGACTCTTCAGTGGGCCAGTGGTGCTATTGGAGGTGGGAGAAAACATAGTGACATCCTGCTTTTACCATCCCAGCACTCTCTCAGAGAAGTGTCACAGCCCGAGTCACTCAGCCACTCACACCAAATCTATTTTCCCTGACTCTGGTCTCATGTGTGGGCTCTGGCTTCTGTTGCTTATGATTGCTATAAGGGCAATGACCTCAATATAGTGTTGGCCTCATGTATGACCAGAGTCAGACTCTCTAGAGGTGAACAACTCCAGATTTTGTGTCCCTTTGTTGCACTGTGTATGCTGGTATGCCTCTAAGAGGATGCTTAGTGTGTTCTGCTTTCCCTGGCAAAATACTTGCAATGGACTGTCTGTTATTAGGAAGAGCAATAGAAATAAAATTTTGAAAGCACTTTGACAGAGGTCCACACTGCTTTTTCTTGTTTGTTTTTCCTCACGAGTTCATCAATGTAATTGTTCATATATATGTTTTCTTTCTCTTTATTATTGATCAGTGTTGTGGCTATTTTAAATTGTCCACGTGACAGAATCTAGAGTCACTTGGGAGATGGGCCTCTGGTGTGCCTGTGGAAGATGATCTTGTTTGCATTAACTGATGTGGAGAGACCCATTGTAACTGTGGAGGAGATTATTCCCCCAGCAGTCATCATTGAATATATTGAATATATAAAATGGAGAACCTGAGAAAGTATGAACTCATTCATTTCTCTCTGGTTTTGGACTGTGAATTGTGGTAGTTTCTTTTCCAATTGTTGTGACAAAATATTGTGACAGAAGCTACTTATGGGAGAAAGGGCTTAGTTTATAATTACAGGTTACAGTACATCATTACAAGGAACTTGAAGCAGTCAGTAGGCACAATCACAATCAAAAGCAGAGAGAGAGAGAGGGAGAGGGAGGGAGAGACAGAGACAGAGACACAGAGAGAGATATTGGTGGGCAGGTCTTTTCACCTCAGTCCTCTGTTAACTCAAACAAACAAACAAACAAACAAAAAACCACAATCACCTACAAATATGTCCACAGGAAAACCTTATCTAGATATCCCCCATTGATAGTCTCTTCCCATGCTATTCTAGATTATGTCAAGTAGACAAAAGTAGCTGTTATATGAATGCAATGTGATCAGCTATTGTAGGCTTTTACTGCCATGATCTCCCTGCCAAGTGTACTAGGCAGACTCTGAATGTCACTGGGGGATATTCCTTGGGGACATTTCAGAGGTCAGGGTTGGGAGCCAGGCTGATCCAAGGCTTTCTTAGAGACCCAAATTAGTTCTGTGTCCTTTGCCAGGGGAGACCTGGCATGGTTTAGTCTGGGGCTGGGGCCAGGGCTCCAAAGAAATCAAGGTTTTGATCAGTCCTCCAGCCACTATGTGTTCATTCTGGGACACACTTGAGATATTCAGTGTTCCTTTTGTGCAACACTGATTGATTAGCTTCCTGATAACTGTCAGATTGTATGATTAGCTTTCTGATGACTGTCGTTTCCCCCTGCAAACCACATATAAAATGTTGTATTGCTTGGCATGAACCAACAGCTCATACAAGGCCCCTTGACCCCAATTATCCCCTGTTCTCCCCCTCATGAATCTGTCACTGAAAAATGGACTGCTGGCCCAGGCCAGGTCAGAGAGGCAGAAGAAGTTAGGCCATCTGATCATGGGGAAATTCCTTGGTGAGACACATAGTATAGACAGAGAATTGGAACCACAGAATCCTGTGGCCTGGAATCCTTGTCTTTGCCCTATTTTGAAGGCAGAAAATGGACCCAACCTAAACAAAATGTGTTTTCAGCCTTTAGGGAAAGCAAGAAAGATATTGTGGTGCAATAAATGCCTATGCACAGGGCTGGGTTAATTTAGCTGATTTTCTGTGGTGTACAGTTAATGACAATGGGGGCAGGTACATCAGAGGAACAAAGGTCTGCTAATGGGAGTGCCTAGTGAATTATCTTTCCTTACTCACACCTTATTGACCTGTAATCTTTCCCCAAACAAGCTGATTTCTGAAAAAGCAATTTTCCATTTGTCTCTGTACTATTCAGAAACCTTTAGGGTTCTAACCCTAGATGTGTGGCCTGTTGATCCCACCTCAAGCCATTCTTGAACTTGTTCTTGGGATTTGTGACCCTTTCTGTGTCCCCCCCTTTCAGTCCTATGTTATACCCCACACCTTGAAGGTCCCATAAGGCCACATCACAACTGAGGCCTGGGATTGGGGTCTTGACCTACTGAACACTAGTCTTGTGATTGGGGCAAGCTATCCAAGAAATGGGAATTGTGACTCTTCATTCACAGGGACACTATGAGGAATGAATTAAAATGAGAGCCGTGTGCTTTCTTCTATGCCATGCTTCATTCACACTGCTTTTCAAGGCCCATATCACGTATTTACCTAATCTAGATCCTCATGTTCTTATCCCCCATTAGCTAAGTGTATTGCAATCTTGTGTTAAATGGAACCGGGAAGGGCAGTAGAGGTGTGGGCACCTGTCTCCAGATAGGATTCTGTCCCTTTCAGTGAGTTATGCCTTCCTGCAGGTAGAAAAGGATGCTTTCTACAAAGAATATGTCCTAGATGACTACGACAAAAAGACGGTGAAAGATTTTGGGCAATCTCTATGACTAGCTCTTCATTCATACTCAGGGCACAGATTGAAGACCCTGATGACTGTTGACTGTCAGCTTGGACCTTAGGAATGCTCTTCTGCCAATTGTTTCTCAGACCCAGACACATTTACCACCTGTTCATAGACCCCATGTTGCCAACGCTGACCAGGGGTTTAGCAAGTGTTGGTACTTACCTGGGTGGATCTGGGAGAAGTATAGGCAGAACATCAACAACAGAAAGCAGGAGATCTTCATGGTTGGTGCACACTGAGCTGATGAAAGACAAGCCTGGAGCTGGAAAGCTGAGCACAAAGATTAACCCAGAGTACAGAGTGCATCTGTATTAATGAGAGTCAGGATGACATGACCTCAAAGATGGACTGACTGCAAGGAGGGGCAGCAATCTAGAGATAAGCTTCACGTTGTTATCCCCAGGCATCTCAAATCCTGAGGTCATTCTCTCTGTTTGCCTGACCCTAGATTTTGCTCTCATCCAGGAAGTACTTGTTGCCTCTCATCTAAACAGGGCACAAGGGCTCCATAGGAAACTCACATAATTAAAAAAATGTTTACTTCCAAGGTTTTTTGTTAACTTATAATAATTACACATTGGTTAGTTTCATTCATAGTTTGTATCCCATTTGTTTTGTGGTACAGCACATGTCTAGGAAGTAGACCCAGGATAGCCAAAAAACCCCTGTACAATAAAGGAACTTCAGGAGGCATCACCACCCCCGACTTCAAGCTCTACTATAGACCTATAGTCCTGAAAACAGCTTGGTATTGGCACAAAAATAGACAGGTAGACCAATGGAATGAAATCGAAAATCATGATATTAACCCACACACCTACAAACATCTGATTTTTGACAAAACAGCTAAAAGTATACAATGGGAGGAGGAAAACATCTTCAACAAATGGTGCTGGCACAACTGGATGATAGTGTGTAGAAGACTGCATGTTATTGCCATGTACAAAACTCAAGTCCAAATGGATCAAAGACCTCAACATAAATCCAGCCACACTGAACCTCTTAGAAGAGAAAGTGGGAGGTACCCTAGAACAAATTGGTACAGGAGACCGCTTCCTGATCATAACTCCAGCCTTTTTTTTTAATTTTATATAACCAAGTCCATTTAAATGAAAACAAACATTTATAGACAATATTTGGGAATTTGGGCGTTGTTCTTTCCAAACTACTTCCTGCTGGTAAGGGGCGCTGTCATGGGGGATTCTGAGAAGATGCAGAAATCCTGGCTGTAGTCTGTCAGGCTGCTTTGTCCAGTTGCTTTGAATGTAGGATCACCTGGTACTCTGTTTCAGGTGGTCTGGCTTGATCAAACCACATTAGTCTGGAAGGAATCCACATCTTTTCATTTTCTGTGGAAACAAAAATAGAAATCCTTTCCCCAGTAACTTGTCCTTGAACTTAAATTTTGGAGTCAAAGCATTTTTTTTTTTTATTTAATTTATTATTTTACATGTCGATCCCAGTTCCCTCTCCCTCCCTCCCTCCCAACCTCTCTCCTTCCTTCCCAACTTCCCTCCCTTCTTCCCTCCCTCCTTCCCTCCCTTTTACCCTCTCTGCCCTCTCACATGCACTCTAACCACCCTCCCATCCCCCCACCCCAATTCCATATGTAGGGGAATGTCATCCAGTAGGGGTCATGTAGGTCTGACAGGTCATGTGAAGTAGGGACTAGGGCTTCTCTCCTGTCTCTAGATTAAGGCAGTTATCCCTCCATGGGAGATGTGTTCGCAAAGTCCTTTTGTGCTCCAGGGATACATCCTGGCTCCACTGTCTGAGGTCCCTTAGACTGCTCAGTCCTTCTGGCTGAAATCCATATTCAGGGGGGCCTGAGTCAGTCCCATGCTGGCTTCCCAGCTATCAGTCTGGTGGCCTGTTAGCTCCTCCTTGTTCAGGTAAGCTGTCTGTATGTGTTTCTGCTGCCTGGTCTTGTCCTCTCCCTCTGCATCTGAGTTCTACTTCGACTCAGTGTTTATGTATGGGTGTAACTCCAGCCTTTCAATTTAGAGATTACATATTTCTTGACCTATGGAGAAATAACTGACAGAGTTCTATGATGATATAAAATTATTTTTCCTGACCTTTCTCTACTTCTGTTAAAGGATTTCCTGTGTGTTAGAATGTATTTTATCTTTTTTCTTCATCTCTTTTATTTTTCAGACATTTTCCCCCAATTACTCAAAAATTTCTTTCCTGTTTACTTAGATTTTCTGATTTGGCAGTAATTCCTAAATGTCAAGCATCTCCTTTCTTGTCTCTGATCTTCACCCAGAGCATTTCATTACCATCTTACAATGCAGCATCTCAGCAGCACTTTGCCTTGGCTTTCTGTGGCTTTGTTCTTCAGGTGCACACCGTTCTTCAGTTACTGTAGTGTTTGTTTGCAAATTCACGATTAATCATGAAGATCCAAGCCCTATTTCCTGGCATCAGTTTAACTACAAGAAGTTTCTGTGAAAGGCTTCTGTGTGATAGCCAAAAATAGCTTGGATTATTGAGGTGTGGAAGTCATGCTGATAACAAGCTGTCCTTTTATTGATAGGAGTGTGGAGTCTACCCAGTAGGGTGTGTGGCCACAGGATAGCATTTAAGATGCTTTGGTGTTTAACTTTATTAGTTAAGTTGGTTGAGTGATGGTGCTGGGTGTTTGAGCATGATTTTTCTGGATATTTCAAAGAAAGTATGTCTTGGATGAAATCCATACCTCTTTCTGTTCTTTTATATAAGAACCAATCGGTTACTGACATGAGGACAAAAGCATGTTTTGCATACTCATGGGTCCCAGAGACAGGAGACAGGCCACACTAAATGTGGTTATGTGTGCAGCACCAATGATTAGGAGGAAGAAGATGTGAACTATTGTGTGTGTGGTAAATAAGAATCTGGGAAACGATAGGCTGATATATGTTTTTTTTCGGGGAGAAATCACTTACACCATAAACAGATGACCTCTGCAGGTTCCTGTCCCAAGGATGCCTCTGGATGCAAGAGTGTGAACTGGGGTCTGGGATCCCAGATCTAGTCCTCCCAGGTCATGCCTGCACCTGTTCCCACGCCCCAATGGGCATGGTCAGTGCAACAGGTGTGGGCAGGGTGGATAACTCACTACAGTGAACCAGGTCTATGTGAACTAGAATCTTTTTGAGGCTTCGCTGTGAAGCCCAGCATATTACAGTAGCTGCAATCAAGGCTGTGGGAGTTTGATTGTTTTTTGTAGGCTCAGAGATATAGAATAGTCTGAACTCTGGCCTTCCAATGAGCAAAGTAGAAGAATGCCATCTCCTAAGATTTGTGGACTGAGACAGAACAAGGATTTTGACTGGTTGGTATCCATGTCACAGATATGACTGGAGGTCCTGTTGCTGCCATTCAGGTCTGCCTGACACTGACAAACTCAGTTTGTGTAAGTTTGACTTCTGTGGGGTTACACATGTCTACCATCCTGTGATATTTGCTTTCTTGATGGAGTTAGGTTAATGCCTACTCACATCATCTATTTCCACTAAGGACGGGAATCCATGTTTTTTCCCCATCTGAATAGTATCCATTGTGTGTTCAAATATTTTTCTTATTCAGTTGAGCCACACTAAGGCTGATTTAATATATATTCAGTCCTTTTGGATCTATACCCACTACTTGGAAGTTGCCACTGCAATCAATGCTTACTTAATTAATTTACTTTATGTTTTGGTTTTTCAAGACAGGATTTCTCTGTATTGTTTTGGAGCCTGTTCTGGAACTCGCTCTGTAGATCTGGCTGGCCTCAAACTCACAGAGGTCCACCTGCCTCTGTCCCCCAAGTCCTGGAATTAAAGGTGTGTGCCACCAATGCCAGGGTTATTTTTTGAGAAATATCCATGCAACAAAAAATATTTATTACTAGCTGTTACTGCTTTAGAGGTGATGGGACCTTGGAGAATGGAGCCAATAAATGAGGTGGACCAAAATCTTATGCAAGAGCTAACTTTATTTAGAGCATGAAACAATTCATACTTTGAGGGTTAAGGAGAATAACATGAGTAAATTGTTTTTATTTATTTATTTACTTTTAATTTTACATGTCAATTCCAGTTCCTTCTTCCTCCCTTTCTCCCTCCCTCCCTCCCTCCTTCCCTCCCTCCCTCCCTCACTCACTCTTTCCCTCTCTTTTACCCTCTCTGCCCCCTCACATGCACCCTAACCACCCTCCCCTCCCATCCCCCCACCCCAATTCCATATGTAGGGGAATGCCATCCAGGTGGGGTCATATAGATCTGTCAAGACATTTGAAGTAGGGGCTAGGACTTCTCTTCTGTCTCTAGGTTAAGGCAGTTATCCCTCCATGGGGGATGTGTCCATAAGGTCCTTTTATGCACCAGGAATATATCCTGGTTCCACTGTCTGAGGTCTCTTAGACTGCTCAGTCCTGGCTGAGACCCATATTCACAGGGGCCTGAGTCAGCCCCATGCTGGATTCCCAGCTATCAGCCTGGGGGGGCCGTTAGCTCCTCCTTGTTCAGGTCAGCTGTCTCTATGTGTTTCTGCCGCCTGGTCTTGTCCTCTCCCTCTGCATCTGGATTCTAGTTCAACTCAGTGTTTAGGTATGGGTGTTTGCTTCTGTTTCCAACAGGTACTAGATGAGGGCTCCATGATAAGTTAGTTGTTGTTCTCACTATCTGGGAAGGGCATTTATGGTAGCCTTTCCACGGTTGCTCAAATTGTTAGTTGGAGTCAGTCTTGTAGGTCTCTAGACCTTTCTTTAGGTTCAGTTTTCTCTTCAAACCAATAATGACTCCCTCTTTTATCCCCCCCTCTTCTGTCTTCTATTCCTACCCCGACTTCCTAGTCGCACGTGCTTTCCTCTCCTCCCCTTCTCTTTCTCCTACTTCTCTCTCCATTCACTGCCCCCCCCACTTCCCATAACATGAGTAAATTGTATAATCACTAGAATAAGCCATAGAGACATGTAAAGGATAGTTTAAACATTTAATTGAATAATAGCAGCAAGCAAATAATGAGTAATCTGTAGTAAACTCAGTCCTATTTGCTATGCCTGGGAGGAGCAATTCCAAGAACAAGTCTGTGTTTGGAAGAACCTGAGGTAACAAGATTCTTGTCTTGTTTTCTTGGAGTTTCTCATAAGCACTCAGAATTCTCCTCATATGACTCTATCTTTGGTCCATGTTCCAACAATTAGCTACTTCCCTGATACTAATCTACATTTCTACCAACAGTTTGACAAATTCACTGTTTTAATTTTATTTTCATCCATTCCTTGTCTTTCAGTTTTTCAGATAGTAGCCATTGACTCAAGAGGGAAGTGACACCTCATAATGTTTAAGTTTTCATTTTTTCCTAATTATTTTTGAGGTTGGACCCCTTTTTAGTGGATAATT